TGTTTATACTGTTAATCCTGATGCATAGGCGGCTGCAGGGTCGGGCATTTAGGGGCAATGCCCGACCAAAAATTCTGACCGGAAGTGTGACATCACCATAATTAATAGTTATTCTATTGTTAATTAATAGTTAATAACAGTTATTGCAATTATAATTTCAATTTTTTATGAAAATCTTATAATTATGAATGCATAAATGGCAGGCTGATAACAAGGTGAAGAGAGACTAAATAAAGGAGGAGGTGGTAAGACTTTGGTGCCAATCACAGTGGGCCACCACAGCAACACTAGAAAGCATAATCATTTCATTATTTAGTGCTATTTCAGTGTTCTTTTCTTGTCAGTTGCAATGTCTAAAAGCTTCACTATGTCCTTTGTGAACAAGCCTGCTAAAAAGGAACAACAGTTTACAAAGTGAACCTAGTAAGTACAGTATAGAAGTCAATAATACAGATTATCTCATAATTCTTACTTTAGGTCAGTTTCTTGCTGAGAGTTGATGATCATGAGTCTCAGTCTACTCTTGTGGTTGATACAGCTACAGTTTTTACAGCTACAGTTGATGTACAGTCAATTGTTGCTCATTCTCCATCACCCTATTCTTCTACTTCCTCTACTAATACTACTACTAGACTGTACTAGTACTATTACCACTACAGAAGTCAGTGTTGGAGCTACACTACCCACTACTTTATTACAATAACCTTCGCTACCAAAAAATTGCGCTAAAAAAGGTGCGTAAAAAAGGGTGTGGCCAAAATCGCAGCGCGCTTCGCGCGCCCAACCCATTTCCTGTGTCACACCCATGCCCGACTAGTAGTCAAATCCTGCAGCCGCCTATGTCCTGATGGAGGGACTCCATTTGAAGTTAGTTAAAAGTAATTTATAATTATACACTATTGGATCACAGGTATACTGTGATATGGAGACTGATGGTGGTGGATGGACTGTATTTCAGAGGAGACAAGATGGATCTGTTGATTTCTATAGATACTGGACTGACTATGAGAATGGATTTGGTGACCTTACTGGTGAGTTTTGGTTAGGATTGAGCAAGATTCATCGTCTTACTAAAGAAGGATCAAACACACTAAAGTGGACCTGGGAGACTTTGAGGGGAACACACCTTATGCTAACTACTCTACATTCAGTGTTAGTGATGGTAGTACTGAATATATACTAACAGTAGGAGGATACTCTGGTACTGCTGGAGATAGTCTGGCCATTCATAATGGATTGAGATTCACTACAAGAGACAATGATAATGATAACTACAGGTGGAATTGTGCTAGTACTTTATACGATGGTGCCTGGTGGTTTAATAATTGCCTTCGATCTCATCTCAATGGTCCTTATCATACTAACCCAACAGAAGCTGGTGCCTGGAATGGGATCGTGTGGTACAATTGGAAAGGCTTCAACTATAATCTCCGGTTTACTGAGATGAAAACTCATCACAACAATTAAACATAAATAATGTGTGTGTGACAGGATTGTGTAGAATCAGTTATTAGTTAGTGCATTTAGATTATTTTGTTACTTTTATAATAAAGTTATTTCCTAATAATGTTAAACCTCATCAGTGATTAATATCATAATACAACTTATAAATCATTTTACTAGCAATAAAGTGAGTGGCAAATGACATGTCCATGATAATGGTTAATAACAAAAGAATTAAGAAAATAAATTTACTTCTTTTAAAAATAATATATTTTATTCAAAATAACTTAATTTAAAAAAACATTTCTTGGAGTAAAGATGTTTTTCACTTTGAAAAGTAAAAGAATAATAAAAATGCTGAGTAATATTATTAATTTTAAATCTTAAACAATCATTTTAAATAGAAATGCTAATGAAAATAAGCTCCAAACATTATTTTTACTACAAACAAAACATTATGGTTCATTCTTAACACAACAATACACCTACAAGCAGAATCACTTGCTCACTCATTATAAAAGGAGGAAATCTCTCTTTACTTTAAGATTTATTCTTATCTCTTTCTTTCAATAGAAGATAAAAGTGACTCCTAATCAAGATGATGTTGGCTGGTCAACTGATGTACAGTTTAATGATAATAATTGTTATTATTAATACTGTCAATGGAAACTGTCCTGATGATGAGAAGGAGAAGAAAACTTTTCCACTTGTTACTAATACTAGTGTTAATGCTATACCAGGTACAATAACACCAATTATAAAGTTTATGATTGCTATGAAGATATTGAATACTATTAATTTTGGCGATTTTCTCTTTTCTTTCTTTAGAATGTGTAATGCCAACTGATTGTAAAGCATGGAAAAAACTGGGAAAGAACCTAAGTGGGGTATACCCTGTAACACCAGATAATGGACTAGCTTTCCAAGTAATGTTTAATTGTATTATACTTTATAATTATACACTATATTGGATCACAGGTATACTGTGATATGGAGACTGATGGTGGTGGATGGACTGTATTTCAGAGGAGACAAGATGGATCTGTTGATTTCTAAAGGAACTGGACTGACTATGAGAATGGATTTGGTGACCTTACTGGTGAGTTTTGGTTAGGATTGAGCAAGATTCATCGTCTTACTAAAGAAGGATCAAACACACTAAGAGTGGACCTGGGAGACTTTGAGGGGAACACAGCTTATGCTAACTACTCTACATATAATGTTAGTGATGGTAGTACTGAATATATACTAACAGTAAAAGGATACTCTGGTACTGCTGGAGACAGTTTGATTACTACTTCTAATAGTGGTTTTATTCACAATGGAATGAGATTCACTACAAGAGGTAATGATAATGATAAGAAAGGTAGTACAAATTGTGCTGATGAGTTCAGTGGTGCCTGGTGGTTTAATCATTGCTTTCAATCTCATCTCAATGGTCCATATTATTCAAATCCAGCTGCTGGTGGTAACTCACATGGGATCATATGGTATGATTGGAAGGGATATTACTATAGTCTCAAGTTTACTGAGATGAAAACTCGTCGTAACAATTAAACATAAATAATGTGTGTGTGACAGGATTGTGTAGAATCAGTTATTACTTAGTGTATTTAGATTATTTTGTTACTTTTATAATAAAGTTATTTCCTAATAATGTTAAACCTCATCAATGATTAATATCATAATACAACTTATAAATCATTTTACTAGCAATAAAGTGAGTGGTAAATGACATTTCCATGATAATGGTCAATAACAAAAGAAGAAGAAGAAACAAATTTATTTTATTTCTAAAATTTTATATTTTATTTAAAATAACTTATTTTAACAGAACGTTACTGGGAGTAAACATGTTTTTCATTTCGAAAAGTAAAAGAATAATAGACTAATATTAATTTTAAAATTTAAACAATCATTTTAAATAGAAATTCTAATGAAAATAAGCTTTGAACATTATTTCTACTACAATCCAAACATTATGGTTCATTTATTAACACAACAATACTCCTACAAGCAGAGTCACTTACTCACTCATTACAAAAGGAGGAAATCTCTCTTCAGTTTAAGATTTATTCTGATCTCTTTCTTTCAATAGTAGATAAAGTGACTCCTACTCAAGATGATGTTAGCTGGTAAACTGATGTATAGTTTAATGATAATAATTGTTATTATTAATACTGTCAATGGAAACTGTCCTGATGATGGAACACCATCACCTTCACCCTCTCCCTCTCTCTCTCCTTCTGCATCACCTTCTCCAACACCCACACCCACTCGCTCTCCCTCTCCAATGGTTACTTTTGAGTATCTTTCTTCTCCAAATACTACAGTTAATGCTCCACCAGGTAATTAAACTATTGTTGGGGCGAGCAAAAGCGAGCCTCACATAAACGACACGAGTATGTAAGTCTGTTTGTCTGTTTGTACAC